ACCCCTTTTTAGGTTATTTTAGGGTTAGGAACTCCATAGACATATCACCGATTAGATATCTACCTAGATAAGGATAGCATGATGCATGGTGACATGTTACTAGTCAGGTGTTCAGCTTATCAGAAGCATGACAAATGGGCTATCATACGTTCACATGGAGATTTCCCCATTTGTATTAGGAACACACATGGTTGTTCAGGTGATCATCATAGAAGAACTGCTGACCAAACACAAGGACAGGATGATGATTTACACACCAGGTATTCTTAGATAGCCAATAGTGTATTGTGAGCATTAGTCAGCCTGAGTGTTAGGTGTACTACCAGTAGTATCAGGGGTCTGGTCCCTCATGTATAAATACCAGAGCAATACAGTGTTGAGAGGGTAGACTTGTGATACTTGTCTACACTTGTCAACTTACTCCAGTCTTACTCTGAGCCTACCAAGCTCCTATAGTCCAAACAGCCACCACTGTACTTGCTATATCAACCTTCAAACATTACAAGTGAGTGCTAGGGGTTAGGGTTAGAGCTAGAGTCAAGTATTAAGGTGATACCTTGACAAAGGCAATTTGAATTGCTGCAGGAGCCTCTAAAAAAGCTCCTTACCTTCATAACCCACTTTGACTCTGACTGCTCTAGGAGCTGCAATGTCACATAACTTCTAACAAAGAAAGGAGAAGACAATAGATGTGGTCACATCACAGACCTGAGGGTGGCCATATGGTACTTAGTAAGGAGGAGTGGTGGTGGTAGACTGGAGAGGGCTTATCAGTGGAAACCTGCTGGAGGAAGTTAGGCAATGGTGAGCTGGCAGATTAGACAACAGCAGAATTGTAATAGCACAGCATGGCAACCATGGCCACTGCCTGATCTATACCCACTTTACAACAGTTTCAGATACAATCAGATTACTAACCAATCAACTGAGTACTGATTAGTCAAATATGATGCCCTGTCATCAGAGTATATTAAGATAGTAACAAATAGATGAGGTAGATACAACATTTGAAACATAGTTTGCATTAGCAGTGCCATAGCAATAATTACTGTGGGGCAGTTTTCCTGATGGCAGCAGCACAAACTTAGTATATGAACACTGACATCATAGCATACACCTCATTCTCTAATCCGGTGGATAAGATATCAAATTTCCTCCTGCAGGCAACAAATTACGATTATAAATCCTCATAGTCATGATACTGTTTCGAACTGTCAAGGCCACTCTCTGCTCTAGTACGCGATGGCCTCTCAGACGTCTCTAAGACTGCCGTGCATCCAGTATCCGAGTCACTGATACTCTTGCTGGCACTGGAGCTCAGCCCTCGATTTCTACTCGGCGCCAAACTGCGATCATGGTCTACAGCCGAGGTGAACCTGCCCTGCCCAGCCGTTGTCTGCGGCATCTGTCCCATTTCGATCTGGTACTGGGCCTGCTCGTCAAGCGCACGACGTGTCTGCTTACCCTCTATGAAGAGCACGAGCACTACCACGACACACACAAGCACGCCCTGAAAGATTAGTGCGCGGTACATGTTGTACGGCGGGCTTCCGTCAGAGCCCGCACGTAAGGCGCCTTCAGCTGAACGAATAGAGATGAAACGATGAACAATGATCTGAGACGCAGGATCCAGACGAAGCAGAAATGTCACGCACACAGCACAAAGATCATGCCAAACAGATTTGATCTGCAAAAATGCATATCAGGTTGAAATAATTCGCGGCTGAGAGCAAAGTATGCACGAACGAGGACCATAGCACCGCCGAACTCCCATTCGCATTCCGCGTGAGCTCTACTCCTAGCTCCACAACAACAGGCAGCAGCGTCAGACTGGTCGCGCCGATGATAGCCATCAGCACGAATAAAGCGCCAGTATCATCGGGGCGCACTACGTTGCACATCAGATCCCACCGTGAAGGAGGGGACAACGAACATACCGGCCCAAATCAAGCTCAACCACGTCGCACCTAGGATTGGAGATAGCAGCTTGCACGTCCACGCAAGACGATGTGTAAATACGCGATCGAAGAGCGGTGCTGTGACCATGGCAGCGACGATGCCGACAAGAAGGAGCGCTGCACCCATCAAGCCGGAGATGGTGTCAGAGTACCCATATGGCTCCTAGAGAATAACAAAACGACAACGTCATCATGATGTATCATGCGCGAGATACCTCATCAAACGGCACGTACCATTACCTGAGCACTGAGGATCGAAAACGCGATGATCCTAGGTGAAGAGTACGTGAACAATGAGCACGACGCATCACAGATTCATAGATAGAGCACTTACACCCCAACAAGAACACCGAACGCGAGCGTCACAACCGCAAAGTCAAATCTCTGCCTCCATGTCATATACGTCGGCCGATCCTCCGGCTCGTACCCTATCATGGCACGAACAAGGGACAAGAAAGATGGATTCTTCTGAGATGCCGCATGTGCTGCACAAGAACCACGACTTGTGCGTCAGAGGTAGTCGCTCACGTAGCCCTATACTAGAGAAGTGGAGTTACATACTGGGTGGCGTAGGAGGCGAATCTGTCACGACCAAAACAAACGGCGCGGCCGCTGTGTATATTATTCCCATTACAAGGATCTAGAACACAGTATCTACTTAGCTGCGCTTCCTTCCCAGAACACTTGACGGAAATACGCACCGACTGACGAGTGGTTCCCACTAGGGGCGAGATAAGCTGGCCAAGGCCAGTGCCAATTGGATTAGCTGCGAATGTCATAATTAGTATCCATTAGAAGAGACACACATGGGCGCTCGCCGATAGACATTAACATCGTCGCTGTCGTCCGGCTCTTGAGATCGAACCACTTTTCCGAATATCCTGGCACGAGTACTTGGAAGATGGGTTGCGCGATCCCGGAGAGAAGCTATTTGCGGAGACGCAGTGAGTGTCTGTTACTTGTAATAGAAAGATGGAGGGCACCTGTCCGATCAACACGAGCGCATATGCACCGCGAACGGACAAACTTGACGCCGTTCCCGCATAGCGTACCCACGCACTTGCAAGCAACAGCACCCCACCGATATAACACTACACGAAGAAGATACCGACAAAAAGCTATCAGTCACCCTTGCAATCGCGCAGCGTAGAACAAGATGCGGCTGACAAAACACGCACTGTTTGTCGCAACCCAAGCCGTGTATATACTGATGGGACTATTGCGGAGACTGGAAGGTACACGATATTGACACACGTTCCAAGCCAGTTGACCTGGTCAATGGTGAAGCCAAATTGAGCGACCGCTGATTATCGTCAGAGGTTGGGAAAGTTGTCAAGGTCAGTCATTACCATAAAAGATAAAGAAAAACCGCAAGGGAGAACGAGAAGGAGTAGTCGGCGTGGAGTAATGCATATAAAGAGGAGCAAGAGTTGACTGATTGCTACGTACGTATGGTGGCGAAACTGGCCCCATTTCCGATGTGTGCGCGGTGTGGGCAAGTTTAAAAATAAAGAAATGAGAGATATAACGAGAGTAACAAGTGAAGGCGGGTGCAAATGAGAAGCGATAGTGGGAAAGTACTAGACGGGTATGCAAACATGGATTCCAAGCTGGGTAGGAGAAGCCTGACGTACCGTTGTTGGCAATGGGCCCGAACCAAACGAGGGAAAGTCCGGAGACAATGTTCAGAATAAACTACGTTACACGAGGTTTAATTACGGGTTATGCATATGCGGTAAATTTAGTGTAAATTAGCCCGTATTCATCAATTAGGAGAGCGTAGGAGACTCACGATTGCGACGACACCGATCCAACGGCGCTTGTACATGCGGTATTCAACGAGCGAACTATCGTGAACGTGGGCAGGGAGTTGTTCGCTTAGCTCAATGTCAAATCCAGCTGCTACAGGTAGAGTCAATATGGGGGTCGGCGTTGAGTGAAGATGATTTGGAACAATTAAAGAGGGTGTAATGGGGGTAGTGGGACCGGCGCTGGCAAGTGAGAAGGATGAAGACGCGACCAATCAAATGCTACGACGTAGCAGAGCCAGAAATGATATACAAGTGCACTAGATGGCTATATCTCGCGCATGGCACAGAACGAGTTACTTTCCCCCTTCCGCTCGAGGTGAGTGCTCCGCTGGGCTGACCAGCCCATACTAGGCTGGGCAGTGTGCGGAAGAAGAGGCTTACCGTCGAGCTTGACGTTGGAGACAGAGCAGGGCCGAGACCTCCATTTTGCCATGAGAGAGGACGTCAGGGTGAGGGTTTGGTAGAGAGAGGACGTGGTGCATGAGGTCAGAGTTCCGCTCATGGGACGGAGACGTTCATCTGAAGGTCGCTGTGTCGGATCTCGAATATACCAACGAGTGTCCCATATCAGGACGCACTTCAATTCGGCAATCCGCAACATGAACTTGATCGATCAGTCGCTCTCAGAGTTGTGTGCACCGCACGGCATTAGATCTCTCCGAGAATCTCCCTCATTGGTCCGCGCCGGCCCTGCACGTCTCCTCTAACATAAGGAAAGACTCATCCGAGTCCTACCCAGGCTCTCGTTGTAACTGTCACATGTCCACCAAGCTCAAGGTTCATCGACATCTGCAACCGTGATTGTTGCCAAGCTCAGTGGAAAGTCCACTCTTTGGCCGAAAAGTCTACTAAAGAGGTTAAATTGAACTCTACTGACTTCGGCGCAAGAGTGACTCGTATTCTCCATAAGATATTGAACGACTTGCGTCCATTTGCTCTGGTGGCAAGTCGCTCGAGGTCGATTCCTTGTATTCGCATGCAGAAGCCTAGACTGGTCCACTAATACGATCTAGTGGCTTGTGCATTGTAAGTGTACGCATAAATGGCGTGACCGTGCACTTGAATTCCTGAGAACCGAGGTGAACCATATGCATGCAGCGCTTGAAAGGCGTGTGTCCGGCTTCCGCTGGCGATAAGCGGTCCACTGGCGCCAGTTCCATCCACAGCCTATCCGATTGGAAAGCGTCTCAGAAATAAGTCATCGGTCTAGCGTCTGCGTGCTTTGATAAATTGTTGACCAAAGCCATCATGTACCAGCGTTCTGAGGTGGCTCACAACTACTCCCTCATGGGGTAATTAATTTTCGTCCAGACAATTTTCCATGCAGTCCATTCTTGCCTCGTGGCGTGAGATAGCTCGGCTGTTGCCGGCGAGCTGCTCGGTGACTCAATACCCGTGGACAATCTCGTTGCTATTACAATTCAACAGTGTCCCCTAATAAGTATGTATAGGCCTCAAAGGCAGATCAGTCTTCGCAGAAAACGTTTCTCCGCTTTGACCGCTGCTTACAAGAAGACCATTGCTCTCGATGGCAAGCGATTCTCACCCTTGGCACTCCTGGGACCCTCTCATCCAAATCTTGGTAAGCCTGAGGGTGTGTCCACGAAAGCGAAGCATATAGGTTTGTTGATCCTCTTTTGCGCCCGCTGCCGACTTCTGGTATTTTTTGACGATCTGCGGCGGTGCCTGCTCACGCTAGAACATTCAGGCAGCATTCGGCACACTGCCCAACGATTCACGATGAATAGCTACGATAGATGCATCGATAGACGCTTGGAAAAGATGTTGGATCGGTCTTAGAGGCATGATTTTACTTCATTGTGTAAGTTCGGCCCTTCATGTCGATGTCGAGATCCGAACTAGCCCTAACTAGTTTGACACAGTGGACGTCAGGAATTGATGGACTGGAGAAAGCGGCGTCTGACAACAAGTATTCTTGGTGTATGACATGAAATTGGGTGAGAATTGGCCTACGGCTCTCCGGTGTCATACAAGACTTGCGTCGATCGAACCTCGGAACTCATGTTCAATGAACTCAATAGGTGTGAACTATTGAACTGACGGATCCCGTAATCGCACAGGTTGTCTTGCAACATTTCTCTTCGCATGTATACGATAATTTTATCACTATCGGCGTTGCTCTGGAGCATTACCTGTCTAGCCAGAGTGGTCGAATTATGTGCGGCAGAGCCCGCGCTGGTCCTATCGGCTCATGGAACGGGCTGAACGAGAGATTCAATAAAGTTTTCCGGTAAGACTGCGAAGACAAGATCAGGTCACTCGTCCAATTCATACAGATGACGCTGATTCCACCGGTGAAAATTTTCATTCAACTGCCGTTCTGCTCAGAATGATATGTGATATGATCTGTCAGGTCATTCGACACGAGGAAACCTTGTTGCACTGAGCAGCCGCTAGCCTGCACTATACAGGGAACACGAGACACTTTTGACTCGGTCCCTATTTTCGCGCCACGTAGTTCCCTCATAGGTGTGCCGTGATAATGCTCAGGTTTCTGTTATGTGTATTCAAGTTATGTGTATTTGATGATGGGCAAGTGTAGGGACACTCGGCGAAGCTAGCACATAGGCGGCTCAAGTGCTATACGATTCCCTCCCTGGATGCGGCCACCAAGAAGCCATGAGGTCAGCTGTCATGATTGGCCGGCGTCCTCTGATTCCGCATTTCCTCATCTGTCATAGTTCGAATGGCTGGAGCAGATTCTAGATATCTCACGGCCAAATGTCAAGCGCTTCTCTTGTCCAATATATATCGCCAGCTCAGGCTCATGGATGGCCGCTGAGACTAAGCGATCTTACTGAACTACGCGATGACGACACTACATCTTACTCGTAGTATTGGACTTATGCTTCAAGATACAATGGGAGCAATTGTTATTGGTATGCGTTCAGTTGTTGATGTAGATGCAGTGTTAACACACCCTTTAGGAAGCATTATTGCTATACTGTTTGTATTCCCATAGTATACAGGGTGTTTCTTTCACCCTATTATTTTACAGATTGTATGGCATTTCTATAGCCCAGATCCTTGCCTATTTCAAGCACTGCTCATATGATCCCATGGCATTGAAGTGCTTAGTATGTCATATTTTTACACTATCTATATTCAAACACACTCACATTCTGAATTGAGATTGTTGTCATATAGTGAGCTTTCATATTTGCTAACTACTTGAAAGAGTATTAATATGCTCTGAAATTTAGTGTACTTGATACTCTCCAGATGGCTTTCATTCTTCATGCACTTTATACCTATACAATCATAGGTCATGGCAGTCTCTTGATTGCCATATCTATTGTATGGTTCGTCTCATAAATTCAGTGTATTTGATGATACTTCTGACATATACTGTTACTCAGGAGCCTTCGAGTGAGCTACAGTGACTGGTATATGTGATGGATGTTCTTACTGATGTGACATCAAGATACATATTGCAGTTGTTGTAGGTTTTCACAACTTCTCTTTTTGTTTGTATATCATGAATATTTGAATAGGCAGTAAATGATTTGCTCATCAGAGGGTGAGTCATATTAACTTCACAATGTTCTTATGATGTTTAAGCATAATCAGGTTCTTTATCCACCGGATATGGAGATGTAAGATTCTATGTTTATTAGTAATTACTCACAGTTGCTGAACTATGTGTTACAGTGAGCAAGTTCAAGCATGTTGTCAAAATCATCAATGTAGGAAATTGTTTTGACTGTTGTAACTGGCCTATAAACTTCTGATAATATGTATTTTACAGATACCAAGTGCAGTGTTTACTGCAGGTATATAGTTTTGACAGCACAGTGTACTTATTTGAATGCTGATATTTTGAATTTTCTACAAAAGGTATTACAGTAGGTATGTCTTCAATAACTACACCAATATCTATTCTTATTATATACTAAATTTGATCTACTTTATAGCATGTGCTGTAGATTCGTAAGTCTTAATTTATTGGTGACTACTGAGTTAATTTATGACATTGTGCTGTTCTTAGATTTTTTATTCCTGTTGTTACTGACACATCAACCACCTTTGAGGTAAGTGACAATGCCAATGAATCTTTGATGAAAGAACATATATATATATACAATATTTTCTAGTACTTGTTGATTTTTGGGCTTAGCTTTGAAGCTTTAGCAGATGTGTCAAATTCTGCTCTTCTATGCCTACTTCTCAGACAGCACATGTCAGGCTTTAGGAGGTTAGTATATTAACAAGTTACTTAAGAATAATGGTAAGGTTTAATCTCTGACCTAATTTTACAGTACAAACACACTACTGTACACACTCATGCAATACAGTATCAATTCTGGCATTCTTTTGAGGTATGTATTTCACATACAGTGATTCTGTACAAATGACCAATTTTTTGTCAGTTCATGTGCCATTGCATGTTTGATCTGTGTATGCAAACTTTCATTTCATTTTATGATTTACATTGACAGTATATATGCATATAGTATGTACTAATGCCAGACAACTCTATATACATGGCAATTTACTTTGTTCTTCCCAAGCGTATGTTCATCTATGTTTTTGCATATTTGATATATTTGCTGAATCTTTCTTGCTGTACAGTTCTTCTGAATGCTATGATGGCAACCCTAAATGCCAGACAAACCTTTCACATGAAAGCAAGTGCAACAGGTGGCATGATTACCAGCTTTAGATAGATGTTTATATATCAGACAGTAGAAATATGATGTTTCACTAAGAGCAAGTGTATTGAGCAGGTTAGATAATGAATCAAATCAAACAGTCTGTATAGGATATTGCTGATTATGGTGGAAATTGATCAAAAGTAACCCATCTACCAGCCAGAGAACTAGACATCTTATACAAATGTACTGCAAAATCCATCAGATCTATAGCTTCAGCTTATCAAGCATTATTCAAAGATATCAGTTGCATATCGATCATGAACAGCATGCCCAAACATGTCCTCAGCTTCTGCTGCATTGACATTGCACTTGTCCATGATCATCCTCATGAGAACCTCTCTGATCCCCTGCGCAATTTTACGTGACCCACAGGTGTAGAACTAGACCGTAGAAGACATTTCAATGCCAGGAAAATAGTTACAGACATGAATAGCATGACAGACCTTCGCGTGCTTCTCGTATAGTATGTCTACATCCTCGCGGTCCAGCCAAACACGACTACAACGTATATCAATCACATCGTACTCAAGGAACAAAGGAGGATAACGCACTCTTGAATAAACTTGCAGCCATGCGAGTGCTCCGAGGCGCGTGAGAACGCCGGCCGCACGTCAACGATTCCGAGCTCAGTCCACTCTTTCAAGTCCGAGTCCGAGTAGAGGTAATCTAGCGTGGGCGACCTGCATCCAAAGAACAGGAGCGACTTTGCAACCTCGCGGCCTGCTTTCTTCTGCATCGCGCGCTCCTGCAGGAAGCCACGCATGGGCGCAAGCCCGGAACCTGCCGCAAACATCACCATCGGGACAGTAGGATCTGCGGGAGGGTGAAATGCCATCGCCGATGCGCGCACGGCGATCTGCACCTTGTCTCCGGGACGCAACCCCGCAAGATAAGTTGATGCGACCCCGAGGAAATTCTCCTTACGCCCCGAGATCGGGGGTGCATCCACGACACTGACGGTGAGCGAGACGCGCTGTGCGTCCCAAAGTGGCGAGGACGAGATGGAGTACTGTCGTACCCGCATGGACGGAAGCATGCGCAGGTACGTCTCGAATGTCAGTTTTATAGAGGGATAATCCTCGAGAATATCGAGGATGCTGAGCCTCCTCGCAACCACCTTTTCGGAATAGTCAGTGATCAATTCTTGTAGAAAATCGAGTGGGGCATTCTCAGCCGACATCAATATCTTCAGGTCCCGAGTGGTCACGGGCTGCGAGAGCTCGACATAGCCGGAGAGAAGAGAAAAAATGCCAATTGGACGGTTGATTGGTAGTGGTGTGGGACCATTTGCAGAAAGGATAATCTGGGCGGGAAAGTTTTCAAACACTTTGCAGAACTAAGAACAAAAGCACATGCCTCTTGCTCACTTGATAGGCTGAATCGGGCAATTACTCGCTGCACATCCCGGATAGGATTAGACGGGAGACTGCATAAATCGTGATCAGTATGCATGCAATTCTTCAGTATAGCGGCGACTTGCATAGCGAGATAATCTCCGGCTCGTGCAACCATGCCTTCTGGAAGCTCGAAAACTTTATTTGGTGTGAGTAGCCGCTCACTTGCACAGTACCGATATAAATGCTTACCGATATGTCTCTTCGGATACGCGCCAGGCTTCGTGAGAAGTGTGTTTTCTGCCACGGTACCCAACGCAGTGTCTTGTTGCCTTAGTACTGAAGCTCGGAAAGTACCCGAGTCCACAATTGTCATTTCCAGGCCTCCAGATACACCAGGCGATTGGCCAGCGTCCATCTTGTATTTCTATTCATCTGGATGTTCAGCGCTGCCTCCACCTAATGATTCGGCAGACCAATTATACCTGCGATAGAGTCTCCCAAAGCTTCGTCTGCCAATTGTCAAATTGCTCGAAGAATTCCGCTGCGCTGGCATCGCCATGTCCACGGGAGATCAATCGCTTGCCCCCGTGCACCTCCAGGAGACTGTCGATTAGTGTTGGGATACGCTGATATGACTGGAACCAATCGCGATTGCCGCAGCCGAATACACCATAGGTAACGTTAGCAAGCTCGATGTCTTTGAGGCTCCTGATCCAGTTGACGAAGTGCGCCGCGTTGTCGGCGGGCTCGCCTGTCTCCAAGTCATGTCTGTGCTCATCGATGTGTGGATTGAAAGCATACCTTCAAACGATGCAGTAACAATAATAACGGGACCATCGGTGGGTATTTTGCCTGTGAACGAATCAAGTGTGCCGATACTCGCGCCGAAACCTGCAACAACTCAGCGGGAATCAATCAAGAGAATTCATGAGGAGGTTACCATAGGTCGCCGCATCGCTGGCTATCCGCTGGGCGAAAGTCTCCGACGTCCCGGTGTTCGAGCCATACATTACGTACATTGGCCACTTAAATGGTGTATCCTGTACAGGCATAGCTACCTTGAATGGCTCCTTCTCTTCCCCACGGCGCGCTTGTTGCAGTGACGAACTGGGTATTGCTAGCGGGACAGCACGACTTTTGCGCGGAGTAGCACGGATATAGAAATCTTTAGGCTTGATTGTGAGAGTCTGCTTAAGCGCTAAATCGTAGGATGGGTTTTCCATCGCAAGCTCGAAACGTTGAAGAAGAAGTGGAACGAGGATCAGCATTTCTTGCCAGGCAAATGCACGACCCTGAACGCCAGAATGTGAGTGAGAACGCCCACCAATCGTGATACTCACAATGCAAGCCCGCATGCCGAAACCAAATGGTTGCCATGCATGCGGCTATTCGAATAACATCTAAGAAGCAATAATGAAAGGGCAGCATTCAGACTCACAGGAAGCTTTTCAAAGCTGCCATCCAGCATGCGCTCAGGTTTGAATTCGTTTGCCTAGTCACAATAAAGTGTGAGGGGGGAGCGCGAATACCACGACGAACTCACATCATCCCCCCAAATTTTTGGGTCTCGCTGCGTTAGGAAAACGGCAATTATTACAGTCTGGCCCTTCCGAATGGCATATTTACCGTTGCCGATAATAGTATCATCACGTGCATCGACGGCGCGGGTGGGCGAAGGTGGTGACAGACGCATACATTCACGCAGACAAGCTGTAAGTCGCTATTCAATCGCGTTGACACGAGCGAGCATGCATAGGTTACCATTGAGATATTTTAACTTGCTGAGGTCTTGCAGTCCGGGGGGCTGGTCTCCGAGCACTTCGTCAATCTCCTCTCGCAATTTGCGCATTGCTTCTGGATTCTTGAGCAAGTAATACATTAAGAATGACAGCGTGCCTAGTGTAGTGTGAGTTCAAAGGCACTCAGGTATCGATAAAATCAAATCGCCCACTAGAAGTAGTCTCGTGTCCTACAAGATGGTGACTAAAATTTCATCGATAATGTAATACAAACGCACCGGCTATGAGGAAAGTGAGCAGCTAACATAATTTTCAACGATGAGCGTTTGTAGCCGTATGATCAGATAAAAATGTAATTCAGGAAAACTGACGTTGTAACTAATATTCTCATCCGAGAGCTGCTTTCCGGTCTTGGGGTCCTTTCCGTGCAACATTCTATCCAAAAGGTCATTCTTACCCGTCGGATTGTTCTTACGCTCCGCGATGACTGTTGAGTCGAAACTATAACTTTTACGTAAACGAAATACAAAGTAGAGCCACGCACTCTTGTTGGCAAGGTCAGCCATAGTTTTGATATTTGCTTCATATTTCGTATTGTAACCTAAAATGTTCGTCACCACAGAAGCTCGGAATGCTCGATGCCCAGACTCGAGCAGGAAGTCTGCCATGGACTGGACGAACGGATGGTTGGTTTCCTGAAAATTCGAATTGCATTAGATGGCATACTGTCAAGGTTTAGGTACAAACGCGATAAAATGTGTTCAGTCTGAGGGCATTTCAATGTATGATCAAATTCCTTAACGATCTTCATCACATACCTGTAAGACATTGCGCATAATGCTATTGTATCAAAGGTCATTCGAGTGAAGTCCTCCGCGGCATTGATGGCAGCCCCGGGGCCAAAGCTACATTCTGATTTAGAAAGCTGGCGCCAGTGTGACGACATCCCTCACCGCTCCCATTTCATCACTAGCTGCATTGCGACGTCATACATATCATCGAACATGTCGCGAATGCCCACAGATCCGAATGCAGGTGTAAGAAGACGATCTGCAGGACAGCTAATCAACATCCTAAGACCTGACTTCGCAACAGCACCACGCACGTGCAATGCCCCAATTTTCTTCGTCTGGTTTTGCCTACGTACGACATAATAGGAACGATAATTCAGAGTAGAAATGAATGTACTCACTGTGAATAAACCATCTCCTACACCATTCCTAACTTGCTCAAGGGCTCCACTAATATTTTTAATGAACTTTTTATCGTCACTAACATCATGCATGAGCTCGTAGGAGTTGATGACGACCTTCCTCGATGCTGCCGCGCAGATACACGATTAATCGATATCTGCTTCGTTATGATGCCAATCAGGATGACCTACAAAACTGGTGAAACTGATATATCTCGCCATATTGCTGCGCAAGAAGCGAGAAGGAGCGAACGGGTAAGTCCCCATCGATTGAAGCGACATGGCCCAGAAACGGCAAGGACGGGGGGCACGGTATAGGAGTGGTCATGTCGGGCGGACGCCTTGTGGATACTTGAGACTTACTCGGGATGGGAAGGAAAAAAGTAACGTCTACACCGAGGCTGGTGGCAGCCGTCATATATTCGCGCTGAGAAGGTGGCGATGATGAGTGGATGGGCGCTGGGCTTGATGGCCCTTTATGACCACAGTACTGGCCCGAGCGTTATGCACTGATGGAGAGGAACGACCTCGCCATTTCGAAGGCCAGGTTGCCACGTATCGAGACACACCTTGGCGAGGCCAAATTCAATGGCACACTGATCGTGCATCAGTCCACTTTGTATCGTACAGTGAGCATTCGAGGGGCGCCCACCTGCGTTTACGCGTGGCACCATCACCGCCCGTGTTGATATAACCGCCCTCTTCTCAAACCCCCTTGAGCGCCAAAACATAACATTTTACTACGTGCATCGACCCAAAGTATTGTACTAGCATCAGAATCTGGGGACAAACGATGAATAACGCCGAGTCTGCAATACTATTCCAGGGTTGTAAAACACATAACGACTACCGTCCATACGAGATGCAGGCGATTTGGCTGATATACGACCATGCAGGTGCGAGCAAACGTCTGTTTTCTCATTATCTTGAGGGTTGATGACATATGGTGCGTGGCACATCAAACAAATATTCCTCGAGGTGACAATGAGTACCTGCCAAAGATGTTCCCTGAGTCAACGGGCGACTATAAAGTGCCCATACAACTCACAACATCCCGGAAGGCTATCCAGGCAGCGGATAGCGATGACGGGAAGTCTGGATTCAACGCACACGCTGGCAGAAGCTTAGACGTACCTAGTTCTTGATAGGCCTATGTCCCTTGTTCTCATGCTGCATCATGATCACTAGTCGCATTGACATAGGGGATCTGGAAATTTGCTAATACCCGTGCACGCAAGCCATCCCTCACTCTCGCGCGACGTCCGCATCTGCTAATAACGCGCATCAGGTATAAATTTGCATCCGTAGAAGTCAAGATGAACCCCTCCCTCCAACTACTGAAGTATAAAATCAGACTTCCTTACGGCGCGGCACACATTCACCTCACCTTCTCTATCACCTCTTCAGCCCCGAATGCGGGAAACATGCGTATATGATTATTCATGCATATTTTGCCTTGTAGAAGATTATCTGCAGAATCCCACATAGAACCGGAGACTAAGGGCACCAGTATTTACTGGGCGATAGCAGGAGGAGCAAAAGGAATGAAACTCGCCAGGGTCGGACAGACAGAATCTAACCTCGCAACACTGACAGTGCGAGTCGTAACGATCGCGTCGCATCACGACCACGTGCTGTTTGTGACACTAGTGAAATAGTCAATTTAAATCCCGCGTGCAGCTTGAATGTCGCGGAAACCACAAAACATGTTTCTCCAGCTTGAACCTAGCTAGAGCTTTCGTCCCGTTTTCTTCCCATCCGTACATCCCATCCGTACATCACTGAACACTCAATTTCTAGATGAAAAAGCTCAAGTTGCGATCATTCAAGCAACACGGCTATGCTGCAGCCCGCTGGATCTAGTGACAGTGTGAAGTCGCAGCTGTCTTTTATTATACATACAACCGTTATACTGCATTTGGGATGCGAATGTCAAATCGTCAAATATGAACAGCGCTCTTGTCCTTGGGTTCTACGGAATCTGATGGCTGACTGTAGGTGTCAGTCCATTTCAATCTGGCCGGAGGTGTGGGACCTCTGTTAGCCTATCATAAATTCTCGACATGCGCCTCGCTCTCCCCTAACCTCACTGTCAACTTGACAAATGTCACTATCAACGGCGCCCTCGCTTTCCAGTTTGGTACGTCTACTGAAGTTATGTATGCAATAATACTATGGGCTAATCGATGCACTATTTAACCATAGCCTTCCCTCTCCGTCGGCGGCGCAAGTGATGGGAGCTCCGTTGGCACCTCGAACCTCTCATCTGCACTCTGCACGCCGGACGACACGAGCATTCAGGACTATTTCACTGAGCGTACCTTAACGAAGAATTTTGGACAGCGTACGGTTCCACAAGTAGTTGATGACGGGAGTCAGTTTGACGGCATGGACGACGCCGATGTTCCGAAGCCTAGAACCAGTTCCATCTCGCGCGCTATGTCAAGAGCGAAGAAACTCGCGGGAATGACTCTGCGAATGCGAAAATCGCTGCGAAGGGTGAGCATCTTATATCATTCCTCGAAGTTGACCTTAATCGAGGTCTCACGTTGTCCAGGAGGAAATCCCGGCTGTAATAAGGCTGGACGACAGCACGATATATGCCGATACCCACAACGATCCCACCGAGGACTGTGCTACGGTGATTACTCTATCCATCACCATTAGCTGAACGCATATATATGTGTTTACAGATATCACCCTCCCGCTTGTCTATAATGGTTACGCAAGATACAATCAGCGATACCTCAGATGATTACGACCCACTCGATCAGGTACATCATTGGTTTTATATGCTCATCTCATCTAAATCTGACACTAAGGGGGACGGAAGTCCAGCACGATTGGGCAATTAGGATCACCTGTGGTACTCATGTCCCCTGCCATGAGCGTAGAAGACCAGATATCAAACCCTAAGGTCAACAATAGCCCTGAAGCTGAAGTTCTCCTCGACGAAGACATGGATGACGAGTCACAGTGTTTCCGGACGCACAGCCTACAGATGGATGACGACGACGTTGGTCTCCTCAGCTACCATGTTGACGACAGCTATGCCGGTTCCATCTCTCTCAGCGGGTCGTGGACTATCAACGCGGTTGTCATTTTGTTGTCTCAGGTCGTGCTCTTCCTTCCATGGTGCATCGGCGTAGGCGGAACGATCCTGTTCTCTCCTGCTCACCTCAGTATTGTCGCTTCTGGGTCTGGCCACATGCTCTCTGAGAAAGGCTCCCGGCGTTTTGCGTACTGGGCACACTGCGCGGAGGCTCATATCGTCATTTTCCTGGGCTTTGTAGGTTCACTCGTCTACCTAAATCCTTATGCCGGAACCGCCCTTATCGCCGCCGGCCTCGCGAGATTTGTGTACGTGTGGCATGACTTCCAGGTGGACCTATCTGTGCCTTTAGGGGTGGATGACCAGCAAAGCGTGTATTTAGTTGTCACGAAGATGTACCTACAAGACGGGGTAGCGTTGCGTATCTTGGACTAGGTGGGCACGTTGTGTTAGTGTATGTATAGCTTTTCTAGTGTGTAAAGCAAGAACTACTCGTCGGATAACCAGACTGAGATATCAGTGCCTAACATCAACACAGGCAAGTACTGGGAGACCGGCCCTAGTATCATGCTCGCGTCAACATAAATCGGAATCGGAAACAAATTGAACGATAGATAACAGAAGTTTGATGTATGGCTGTGATGATGCTACAGCAAACCTGGCGGATAAGGCTTAACGGAAGCAACTTTAATTCTACGAGTGTAGGACGGACGGTGGATCACCATATGTCCTTTGGACTGTCGAAAGGCGAGTGGGTAAGGACGTCCGCGTTTGAGGGCAGGGTAGGCATGGCAGCCATAGCAAGCAAAGAATTTGAGCTGGATTGAGACGACTTGGAATTGAGTGTTAAGGGCCTACTGGGTATGGGTGGGGGTGTCGGCGCCGCGGTGATATGACCTGGAAAACGGCGAGGAGGCGGGGGCGGAGGGGGCTTCTTTGTCGGCGTTGTGTGTACTGGGAGATCACTTGGACGCAGCACAGGGCTTGACCGCTCAGATGGCCGCTTAACGTACACTGCATCTTCATCGAAATCAGATAGCCGTTGTGGCATCAGCCGCTCTTCGTCATCCTCGCCCGTGCTACTTAGTGTATCTCGTGAGCCGAACCGACCGTACGTAGGGGTCTGGCTGTCAGCGAGATTGTGATCACCGAAAGGATGCTCCTCGTCTGAGCTCGCGCCGAAGTCGCGCTTGCCGAAATACTTTCGTCTGCCCTCGTCTGCATCGATCGTAAGTGTCCCAGGCGCGCTCGAGCCCTCGCCTTGCTTCAACATCTCGGGAGGACGCAGTGGTAGCTGTGGAGCAGATGGCAAAGAGCCCGTTGAAGAGAGAGCTTCCGTGTACGTAGTGGGGAATAGGCCGCGCCTGCCTGCAAGCTCCCCCATCCACCACCCATCGAGGACTTCGTTCACGACAGCAATTCGGTCACCCGATCGGAAGCTCAGCTCGTCAGAGGAGGCTGCAGCGAAGTCGTGTAGCGCCATGACTACCTTCCGCGTATCTTTGACCGGGGTGACACCATACGGAGATTTCGAGATGCGCGCCGGCTTTTGCGGTGACGTGCTTGGGGTGGAGGCACCGCTCTTGCTTCCGCGATGTCTTGACTTATGCGAAGACGAAGACAGCGCACTAGGGGGCCGTCTCGTATCTCCCCAATCATCACTACGTTCCTCGTCGCTGCTCTCATCATGATCATCGCGCAGAGCGGAAAAATTGTCCTTATCTTTGTCCTTCTTCCCGCGACTCGCCACAGAACTCACTGCACTTGCCGCACTGGAAGCCCAACCGGCGACGCTTAACTTGCGCGACACCCTTTCAGCCTTCTCTTTTTCTTTGTCACTCATAGCGGTGGCCGTACTGTCTGAGCGCTTGCGAGAAGCTCGTGACTGAGGACGGGAAGGTGCCCGCGATGGGGGCTTGCTATTGCTCGCTTCCGACTTCCTACGACTGAGAGAGAAACCACGCGAACGCGGAGCAGGGGTGGTTTCTTCTGCATCATCCGATGAGTCGGCAAGAGCTGAATTCTTCATGGCTGATTTCGTGGACTTGACGGATTCGGCACGCAAGTCTTCTACTGTACGTGCGAAAACATGCATCGGCCCCTTTGGGCGGGTTGCTTCCATCCGTCTTACTACGGCCCTGTACGTTGAATGTTAGATTTTGTCAGCCAGGTCTCGAGTGCAGAACTTACTCCTCTACCCAGGTGGACTTCACCTCGCGCAGGACCTGCAGATACTGCTCTACAAAGTTCAATTCTAAGTCGACAAGGGCCGTGAGATCGTGAAGTTGTGCGACTTCGTTCTCTTGTATCGCATGCATTCGTGCGCGCACGTCCTCTGCCGTTTCTTCACTGAAAAAAGGCTAAGTAGGAGAGTGCTCGTCCTGATATACACTCACTAGCGTGATCTCGCGTTCTCACATTCATCTTCAGCTTCATTCCTGTCTTTGTCCTTCTTGCTGTTCTTGACCTTGTCAAGTTTGCTCAGGGCTGCATCATAACTTAGGCTATTTGAAATGATTAAGTACCCAAGAGACATCTCAAACATGACCTACCGCCTACTCTCGAGCTTCTTTCGCTGCGCTTGGTACTCCTTAATCTCATCCTCAGTTAGTCGCAAAGAAGCGAGGTATGTGTCTTCGAAGGTCATTGCGAAAGTCTCTTGAAGTGTTGCGACCTGACAATGTGCGCGACCCAAGCTCACAAGCGATGTACCTTGCCATTCAATAAGAAGTCCATACACCATTCACCTCTTAATTGAGAATAGACGAACCAAATGCAGAGTCTTCGCCAAACTCTTCGCCATGTTTGATCATCACAATTCCGAGTGCATCTATAGGAAGCAGTTTTTCGCCCTCTCCAAGGGCTTCCGAGTCCTTTTTCTTGCTGAGCGAATAGTGGTATTCTTCCGATGCTGTATGGAGCCTGTAAACCCACAACCGATTAGATTGACTCGTAGCGGTGACCAACATATTGAGCACAGTGGACAACCCTAGCTCAACTACCTCCAGTGTCTGTTTGGGATAGCTTGATGAACAGGTAAGAAAGCACAGACATGCTGTCCCGCCGCTGTACTCGAGATGACGAGGTTGTTTCATCTACATCGCTGTACTCCCGATGGCAGATAGCGAGTGGAGGGCCACGATGCAGCTGAAGCCATGCATATCTGTGCGTACAGTGATATGGCAAGAAAATAGAGGTGCGACATGATGCGAGGGTGATGACCGCAGTGGCACGCTGTAGACAGCACTCACCGCCAGACTCCCTGTCTCCTCAACTCGATATCATGCTCCAGCTCACGAAATTCGTCCGTCACTACAGTCTTGTCACGCGATGAAATGACTTCGCCTGCCCACTTGACCGGACATCATAAGGCCTTTAGCACACCAGCCCGCCAGTCTTTGAACGAAAGAAGCCCACCTGTCGTAGTTTTCCAAGCTATTGTCCAAATTCAGCTGTAGCTCTTCTGTACGAGGCGGTTAAATAGCTCACCTGTTTACTCGCCATCTTCTGTCTCAGCAGGTGTATACGAGAAAGTTATCAAAGGGACACTATCTTTGGTGCCGATTAAGCTGGTGAAGAGAAAAGAGAGTGGGTGAATGGTGGTTCGAGTTCAAAGTCGTATGACAACGTTCATATTAGCCGTGGATCAAGGGGACCATTGTTATCCACTCTCGGCAGCACTTGGAGACGGGCGAACGCAAGATCCATCGGGAGGCTTCTGTATCCTTTTCGAGCCACCTCCTCTAACTCAAGTGAGCCTCAGTCAAGAGCCTCAGTATGGCTGCTCAATTGCGTTCGTTCGTCGCTCACTCGTTGACTGAGATACCTAATGTAGCAAAGGTTTCGAACGTTGCTTCACTTCCTTTGCCGGGAACTCCTCCCAATTTGGGGCGTAAGCAAATGAGCAAGCGATGCAATCAAGCAGCCCTAGAAGTTGAACCTGGGTGACCGAATGTGTGCAAAGCGGCCCCATACTGCATACTGCTTCTATACCAGTGGCGTTACTCAACTGAACGAAAACACGCGATACATAAGACTATCTCCATATTACATCTAGTATAATTTCACGGATGATACCGAAGAATAGAACAAATTACAAAACATCACTCGAACTAGATGCTCATATACCAGCCTTCGCCGCAAGGCGCAGCCCCTCTTGAACGGCCACGGCTTCTTCAACCCATGGAAGTCTGAAGAATTCGCTCCGCCGGAGGTCTTCCTGGCGCAGAGTAGCGCCCTCGCTTGGTCCACTTCCCAGCACGTTCTCAAGGTCGCGCGATTGCGATGCCAGCCAATGCTGAATGAATTCTCGCGGATTCTCTGCGAAAGCATGCAAGAAATTCCGCTTCAGATGTGCATTGTGCAGCGATTGAACGTGCAATGCGATCTGGGAAACAGTGGTCAATAATCACCGGCTGATGCAGCATCTCTGACTCACTTCATCGTCGAGCTTTCCCAGGTCCCGAGCTGACTCTGCCGTCATCTGCACGGCAACGTGGCTCATACGACTCTTTAGCGATGTGTCATCCAACTTTATCTCCACATCCCACGCGCTGGGCTTCTCGGGTGGAGGAATGTCCGGATTCAAAGTGTAATGCAGAATGATTGGATCTGCGGGTTGCAAGAATCGATTGACCAGTTCTGGTAGGTGTTGGAACAACATAGAATCGGCGCCGAAGATCTATGTTTGATATTAGTAGGGTATCGCATATGACAAACAAAGCTGGACTGACTGGGCGAAGAGCTGAATCCGCTCGAATCGCGCGACGGTCTACTTTATCTTGTAAACCTTGACTTTTGATGTAGTTCCATAATGCTTGAACAACTCCTGTCCGCGTTTCCTCCTGCAAACCCAGTATGTTACCTGGGAGATAATATAAGAATCGCTTCCGTTACTGATTTAAGTAGCTGACGTACCAAGTTCTGGCTGCACTTTGTAACGTTCCGGTTGTTGCTCGAGATGGATCACTACTCGAATTTTGGTCAGGGTATCTCCTCTTCGTCTAACCGTGAACCCGTCTAATTGTGGCTGGCTTGGACCACGAATCCACTGCAATATGATTGCCGTCGGAAAGGTGGTAGGACCATCAGTTCAAGTAGAAACACTCATTATGCTGAACACACACCTCAACTATGTTCCCTTCGGGGTACAACGTTGTATCTCGGTCCAGATCCACCACAATGCTTTTAATAAGCGACGATAACTTTCGCGACGGTGTCCGGTCTCTCGATCGCTGGTTTGGTGGCTGAATCCATTCGCATAGTATAGGTAAGCATCATACGATAGTAGACAGGTATGACGTACCTCGATAAGCCTCCCTTCGACACGGAATGTCCACGCAGGAATCCCTTCGCCCGTCTCCGGGTTTGCCTTTCCCGAGTCGCCATCCGCCGCACCTGTGCCCGCACCATCCTGTTGCCAAGCTTGGCCAGACACTGTGTGGCTTAGGAATATTCGTAATGTCCGGGTAGTCTAATATTGGAGCGCGCAAGATCGTCCTGAGTATGGTGAGCGCGGTCGAAGCCAGAGGTAGCAACGAACCTGAATAACTCGAGCGAGCGCATCTTGAACTTCAACACGCTTTCGTGTCATGGTCCAGTCCAGTCGACGCTCCATCTCGAGGAGGTCGCGGTACATCTGCGAGTCTGCAGCAAATTCTGGCGATTCGAGGAGCGCATTTGGGAGATTCTTGTCGGTGAGTTTGCGTTTCCTGAGCGCAAAAAATACCGGAGAGGTTCAGTCGATGAGATATTGTTTACTTCTAAATACTAAATTTCGCGGCCACACATACTTCGCTGCTGGTTTCGGTGCCTCCATATTGTCCGAAAACGAGATGTTGACGATTGGCGTGCAGTTGTATGAGTAGCAGTAGAAAGGAAACTTGACAGGGGTTATAGCTCTGCGAGAATACTAGGCAGCGGCGCTATGAGTGGGAGGCCAGGAGCTTATTGACCCAGCGATTTAAGCGAATAGCACTGGCTGGGAGACTCAGAAGCAAACGCCCGGCGTTGAGTCCGATTTCGGAAAGAGAACAAAGAAGACCAAACACAGTGCAACCAGGCGCGCGTGAAATGGTTCGTGCCTTGGTCTACTTTCTTGCATCCTTGCACCTCGGATATTGCTTTTTGCTATTCATCTCTCTCTGCAGAGACACAAGTTCTTAATTATCTGAGCAGAAATTTCTTACGCTCTATATTTTTACGTCTCTCCAGAAAAGCGTTTGGTGGAGAGACAGAGCACCGGGTGAAAGACGGCGGCTTAAAGGAAACGTGAAACTTTATGCCTGCATTGGATAGTGAGACTTTAGTCTGAGAAGTTATCAGAATAGCCTTTCTCCTACAGTTCGAGATGGAAAGGCCATGATACAACCTAGTCCGAATCGGCCCTTGCAACAGGTGCATTGTGCAGGTGTGTATGTACCTTGTCCGACCTAAGCTATCGTATTATCTTTCTTTGCCCCTTATGGTGTGTGATGTTGACCATTACTAGGTGACTTGATCGTGCCAGGTGGGATGCCCGGTGAGCTTTAATGATGCTACCCTGAGTGTCTACAGTCTCTAGGATAAGTTGCTCTTCTTTCAGAGGTCTACACACACTAGTTCTTGCCGCATCGATGCTGCTGGGCCTAAGTACTGGTACCAGGTCGTGATGTACTTGATTCTAGATGCCCCGAGCACTGCCTTAGAACTTGAAGCAGTTTGTAGATACTAGAAGAGTTCCATCAATTCATGACATCGCATATCGCTGATGCACACTCCAAATTTGCACTATGTAACATGACATTGCACTACAAGTTTTCGACGTAATACTGCCGTTCGAGCTGGCGATGGAACGTAAATAACTGTCTAATCTGGGCACTAGTTATCGTCGACCGTTTATAGCAGCCTCCAAAACTCGACAACCCGAATTTGAGCAGAATGTAGACGAATAGAGTCGATGTGGCTGCACGGATTACCATGCTTATGGAGATGAACGCGATATACTGGAAATTTCGTACCACTTCTATACCCGCCGCTGCAAGTCTGTAGCTACAGTCCCACTCTTGCATGATCTCTCTTGAGAGTTGGGCGGGCTGACTTCCAAGTGAATAATTGCTCAAGATCCGACCTAGTCTCACCATAAGTTTCCTTCTACAGTAATCGTACTGATCTAGGTTCAGAAGCCGGAACCGGATCTTCACGATCTCAAGGACGGGAGGGACGAGGCGCCAACGGCACGGCAAACGTTTCGTGTGTACGCAGCATTTTTACAATGCTTAGGAGCCTCCAGCATGTTTCGTCGCTATCGCCTCTATACGGTCTCGCTCAGTATAAAACACCCCCATTCGCCGTGTCTCTACACTCACGCTCTATCTACCCAAATCGTCCTCTATCCAACAGTCTCGAAGTTGTCTGCCGTACTCAACCCATCAACTCTTATCCCCGATAACCTCAACCAATATGGCGTCATGCGCAAGCCTAGATCCTCAAAAGAAGGTTTGGATGGTTACTGGTTCGTGTTTTGGTTTGTGGAACCTACGATTTACTTTCCAAACGGCCGCCATCCTTGGAAAATGCCGACCATACCCTCCGCCTCGATTATTGAATTTGCGCTGGTCAGGTCTTGATCGCTACTTGAAATCTAATCTCTTCACTTTATGCGCAGGCACCTCCTCCGGCTTCGGAAAGCGACTCGTTCCAATCATTCTCGCTCGAGGAGATTATGTGATTGCAACGGTCAGGAAACCAGAAGACTTTCAGGTCGTCGTGTCCGAATCAGATGTCCATCGCGTGCATATCATCCTGCTCGATCTGAAAGAATCTGAGCAGAGCATTAAAGAGAAAGTCAAAGGGGCACTTGCGAAATGGGGCCGCGTTGACGTGCTTATCAACAATGCCGGCACTGCCCCGAAGGGATTACTACCAGAGGGCGGGTGCGTACATATGTCACTCAAAATTCTTGGCTGCACCAACATCTTCAGTTGACGCCAGGGCCGAATTCTTTATGGAACACCTCCAGATCAATGTCATCGGGACCATGAGTGTTACCAATGCCGTCCTTTCCAACATGCGAGAAAGGCGCACAGGGACTGTTGTGTTCTTGGGTAGTCGTTCCGCATGGAGGCCGGACATAATTGTGCGTATACCATCGTACCTCAGACTGTAGCTATCTTTGACTCCGATACCACCAGTTGGCCGGATATTACTCAGCCTGGAAGGCAGCAATACATTGTACAATACCCCTCATTTATCCACTCAAGACATTTTCATTGATGTTCATTCCGTGACAGCCCTGGGTGCGTCGTACGCAGCAGAATTAGAACGCTTCGGTGTTCGTGTTACGGTCTTCTGTCCAGGAGGTTTCCGGACAGAAAACATACACACGTGGCCAATTTTGATCAACGATCACATCCCCGAATATGATGCTCTTCGAGAGGAAACGAGCGCCCTATTCAATGCGAATTGGAAGAAAGCGCCAGGAGACCCAGTGAAGGCCATGGAACTCCTGGTAGACGTCGTGAACGGGGAGGGAAAAGCAGCTGGAAAGAAATTTCCTTTGTATCTGCCCGTTGGAAACGCTACTTTCGATGCCGCGCGGGCGTACTGGCAGAACCTGTCTCAGACAATGGATGAGTGGGAGGACGTGGCGAAGAACTTGAACTTTGACGAGGAAGAATGAGATTCGATGGTTGGGCTGCATATCTGATTTTAGTTCCGTTGGGTTAGTCGCAAGTGGCCGTTCCTCAAGCAGTGACGACACATGGACGACGTATATCTGAACAAGTTGTAACTTAATTGCGATCACACAATAGATTGAAATAGTAGCATGATTATATTTGCGGTATTATAAATGACATCAATGTTCCTATCGCGACAAGTCTTTAATGATGCGTAGTATAGCGACCACTCTTGGTGATTTCGGTGGTTGGTGGTCTTCGAGGGAATCATACCATTCGCATTTCGCTTACCGCGTTGGTGATGACTTCACAATATGACGACCGTCCTCTTTTGGGTCATCTAGAGGTTGCTGTCTGAGGGCTTCCTACGGGACACGAGCGTTGACGTGATGCTGTCGTCACGTCTTGTATATATGTAGGAGCCTTCAACTTCCACAGAGGAGCTTGAATTTTGAAAGTTGAAAGCCGGTTATGATGCATGAAGTTGAACGTCGAACTGACAAGCGCTGCCCCAACTCGATTGGCGCCAGTTGGCGCCGGAGGGCTATCCTGAACAAACCTCATGCAAACCTTATGCTGCTTTCTTCCCAGACGTATCTTCCGTCTTCGACTGCAGGAAATTTTATGGGACCGCCTTCTCCATACTACAACAAATTCTCATGACGCAGATCTGTATGAAGTAAACATGCGTCGTCTCTCCCCTACGATGCTTGGGTAGGGTTAACT